CCATAAAGAGCTTAGAACAGGTCAAACTTGCTCAGTGATATCCAATGTTGCACCAGGCCTGTGATGATTTGTTCGGGGCTGGCTCCCCTGACATCTAAGGAGCTAATTTCATATTCAGTCTTGGAGCATTCTGCCTTCCATTCTCCCCTTTGCCCGTTTCTTCCCTCTGACTTGCTCAACTTCCAGAGCTCTGTGAGATATAATTACAAGGTGACCTGTGAATTAGGCTCTGGCCTGAAGTCTGGATCTCCACCCCTTCCTTGTAAGTTTGTATAGATTATTCTGGATCTTCTGAAATTGGAAACTTTTTGAGGTCAAGTCCAGGAAATTCTAAATACTTGGACCTCAGACAGGCCTAGTTTTAACTCATGACCAAAATTAATGGCAATGGCTAATATGTAAACATGCTATTGTTTATATGGTGCTTTAGAAATTAGGTTCACTTGAATAGCAAAGTGAGTATTATTTCCATTTTATTGAGAAGTGCTGAGATTTGAAAAAGAATTAGGCTAGCTCTCTTACAGAGCCAAGGAAGAAAGCCAAACCCAGAACTGCTCTACCATTTCATTCTACTTTCTGATTACGATTGGCATCAGAAATTATGTCTTCCTGTCCTTAGGTTTGATTTTTAAAGTATGGATTCTTTTGTTCTCACCAGAACATCCAGCATTTTAACTGGAAGTATAATTGGAAAAACATAGGTGCCCCCAGATCATTATCAACTCAGTTGTCCCCATTTTCCAACCAATTTGTTCTGAATTTTTAAAGACTGTTAAGATTATTGCCTATGGAGCTCATTGTAGGTGCCAAGCCCTGTGCTAGTTCCTTTCTATACATCATCCCACTTAATCCACACATCAGCTCTCTAAGCCAAGTGTTATGAGTCAGCAGTGGTTCAGTGGTAGAATCCTCACTGTCCTTGCTGGAGGCCTGGTTTTTATTCCCGGAAATGCAGCTCATGAGCCCCCAGCCACCACCCCTCTATCAGAGGTGTTCCTATGATGCTAAACAGATTCCCGCTGAGCTTCCAGACTGGGATGGATGGCGAGGAAAGGCCTGGAGAACTGCTTCCAAAAATCAGTCAATGAATACCCTATGGAATACAATGGTCGGATCCGTAACTGATCATGTGGATGGCACAGTAGTGGGTATCTTTTTGTTTTATTGGACACATGGCCAACATGACTTGGAGGTCCATTCGATGGCAGCTAACAGCAACCAGAAGATAGGAATCATTATGCCATTTTACAGATCAGGAAGCAGATTCAGAGGTAGTTGAGCTAAGGGAAAAAATGAGATTCAGGCCCAGTCATTTCCTCACCCCTCCCTAACCCCAAGCCAGAGGCCTCTGCTTTACTTTGGCCTCTGTCCCAGAAGGTTGGTACCACTTCACTCTATGAATACACCAATTGAGAACCGCCCCCCCCCCCCATAAAAAAAACACAGGGTTCTAAAGAAGGGCAGGGGAGAGCAGTACAATGCTGGAAGACTACAAATTTGTAAATGTCTTTATCAGTTCTGAAAAATCTGTGCTGCTGCCCTCCCCAAACTCCTCTCTTTCCCAATTCAGTATGCCTGTAGGAGACCCCCCCCCCCCTCAGAAAAAAATAATAAAACTTACCTTGTTCTCTAACAATGGGAAGGATTGTTACAACCAACAATGTTATACCTGGTGGTGTTCCTCCCACCCCCCCTAACTCAAGACTAGATCACTGAGATCACAAGTTGCAATTAATTCTTAAGTGGCTTATTCCCTCCTCCTCCTGAGAGAACAGATCAACCAAGATGGAAGACAGACTCGGTTTCTTCAAGGCTTCAGACTTGGCTTCATTTCCACCACAGCTTATGTAGGCAATCTGGAGCAGACTTTTGATTTTGGTGAGGACATTCTTTATTCATTGAGGATGCCTTAGAGTAAACTGATTCCCATGGGCAGGTTTCCCCATGATCTGGCTCCTAGCCATGGCGATTTCTAAGTAAGATAATCAGCAAGGCAACGATTAGGCCAATCACAAATAAATCCCAGTAAGGTCCAACGGTGTTATCCAATTCCATCCATTGCCATCGCCTTGTGAACTGTGGGTAAGAGACATACTGTCAAAAAAAAAAAAAAGGCAGACCACCCCCCTGTCTTTTTGAGATTATTATCTTTCCCTAACCGTATTCAACAAGACGCACATCCCCACACACCTCCCACCTTAGCCCTGACCCTTTATTCTTGTAATCTTGAAAGACATGATCTTTTCTTACTTGCTTATCATTCTTACCTATGGTTTAACTGACACCTTTATTTATTTAAACTTTTTATTGTGAAATGAGTGAAAGTTTACAGAGCAAATCATCAGTTTTACATTCAACAATTCATGCATATTCTGTTTCATTGTATTTATTGGAATCCCTCAGTGTAACATCACCTCTCCCACCTTCTCCCTATGTTTCCTATCTCCAATTTTCCATTTTCCCAACTTTCTGCTCTGTGTCCTGGGGCAAATGCTGCCCTCTTGATCACAAATAGTCAATTATTCCAAAGCGTGTGCCTTTCAATAATGTAATTTTTCCACCAATGGACCAGTCCACAGTTCAGCTGAAAACTGAGTCACCGGGGTGAATTCAATTGCACACCCAGAGAGTGATCTCTTTCATGATCTTGAGTTTCGTTTCACATTTTTCTCCCACTCTACATAGGTTCTCCTGGCACTGTTGGGTAAGTTTCGGACTTCCCGACTGCAAGGTTAGCAATTCAAACTCACTAGCTGCTTCACGTGAGAAAAATGATTCTATCTGCTCTTTTTAAAAATCATCGTAATGGAGAACCTTAATGAAGGTAGGGGAGAATGAGGCAAGCCCAGTTATAGCAAGCATAGAGGGGCAGGTAGCAAATTTGGTTTTGAACTCGGGGTGGAGGTGGGGGAGAGAGGTGAGAAAGTGAGGATCCATGAGCCTGGGGTGTGGGATGCAGTGGGAAGAAGGCCCAGTCTGAGGGGGGCCTGAGGGTGGTCCCGTGGGGGGAGACCACAGGGACCACCCCTCAGTGCTGAGGAAAAGGCACTTGGCTCAGTCTCTTTCAGCCCACAGCCCATACAAGGAGATGGGAGTCCCCTGGCCCCTTTCAAGCACCTGGCAGCCGCTGCTGGATTCTATCTACTCTTGTAAAGATTTACAGCCTCAGAAATGCTTGTAGAGTGGCCATGAGTCAGAAGTGATTTGACGGCAGTGGGTTATGATTTTTGTTTACGTTACACAGGGCTCTCCAATGCAATCCCTTTGGGATCAATAAGCACTGGCAGCCAGGCACCATGCAGTTTCTCTGGTCTCAGGGTAGTAGAGAATGCTACTTGTGCAGTCCACCAGTCCAGTGGACTAATGGGTTTCCATGGGTCCTTGATCTTCACCACTCCTCCTCCCTTGGGACAGGGAGAGACCAACAGTCACACCCTAGACGACTGCCCATCCGTTTTCAAGACCCCAGTTGCTGTTCATCAAAGCAGGGTGCAGATTTTTGGACTATGTTATGCCAGTTGACCTTGAAGTGCTCTGAGACTATGGTCCTGAGCCCCCCTAGGCCCAGAAACGGAGTCCCTCAATTTTCTGAATATGTCTAAAACATTTTAACAACTTTGTCCCCTGAATGCTCCACCATATTCAGAGATATACTTGCAGCAAAGGTAAACATTCATGTACAAATATCTCTTTAAAACCTGTATTTATGTGTGGGTGTATTTCCATTCTCCATCTCATACCTGTTTAACCTGCCTATCCGTGCATCTACTTGTAAGTCATCATTATTGTACGATTGTGTAAATGACACTATTTATCTCTGATGCCTTTAACTCCTGTATGTGTCCTAGTGTCTTCCTTTGTCTCTATACTTGTTTGCCAACCTCCTTACTGTAAATTGACTTCTCCTTTCTCTAAATTGTTGAAATCTACTTGAATTCCTCTCATTTGGAAGTTCTGTAACTAAATTATTCCCTAGTTTTACTTTGTAATGATCTTCTTTCCAAATTGATACAGCTGATTCCCTACTTTTAGTCTTGTAGTTTGGTTTTACTTTGAATACTTCTACATTTGAGTTGATTTTCTCGGTGGTAATATCATGCTTGTTAATCTTAGCAGTAATTTCCTTGTTAGGTTTTCAGTCTGCAGGACTCTCTTTACTATTTCTCCCAAGGTTGCTTTTCCTTTTGCAAATCCCTCTAATTGTTGATCATCTGGAAATGTCTTAATTTCACCATCATATTTCAGAAATAGGTTTAATTCTTTCTTTTTTCTTTTAGGGTTTTGGATATGATGTTCCATTGTCTTCTGATGTCATGGCTTTTCTGCGAGAACTGAGAGATTGGTCATATTGATTCTCCTTTGTAGGCAACCTGTCATTTTTCTCTAGCTACTCTCAAAATTCTTTCCTTGTCTTCAGTTTGGAAAGTTTGATTATGATATGCCTTTGGTGATTTTTCTCTTGGGGTCTATGCTGTTTGAGGTTCTTTCAGCTTTTTGAATGCCTGTCTTCTCACCTGCCATGGTGTTAGGGCAGCTTTCTTTCAATAACTTCAACAATTTTCTCTGAGCTGATTTTTTTTTTTTTGTCGTTTTGTATTTTCACCCTGCAAATTGGTAACAATTTTTAAAAGATGTACACTTAACACAGGCAGGTACACATGAACCAGTGCAACCTTTGTGAAATCAGTTTAGTCACATTATTTCCAGCATCGTAAAAAATACCATATCCCTGCCTGGGGCTAACCTCACCAGGGCCCATCCCCTGGCCCCGCCCACTCCGGACTTGGTCCCAGCCAACAGCGAAAAGGACACCGCGCCCTAGGGAGGGGCCGGCGGCGCAGAGGGAACTTTTAGCGGTTGGGAGCGGCATGGGCCGCCTTCCCATTGGCCCGCTCTGGAAGAATTGCCTTTGAGGGGATGGGCCAGACCTAAGGAAGTTCCGTGCCGGTGGGCGGACGTGGTTAGATCCCGGCGTCCGCGTGAGAAGCAGCCGTGGGTCGCGCCGGCAGGTTTTGCTGCTCTTCTTTTACTTCTCTACTTTCCTCTCTGCTGTGTACAGCCATGACCACCGTCAGCCCCGTGCACCCGTACTGGCCTCGGGACCTACGGCTGGACAACTTTGTGCCTAACGACATCCCCGCTCGGCATATCCTGGCTGGCCTCTTCTCAGCATCTGGGGTCATAGTCGTGACCACTTGGCGCTTGTCCAGTCGAGCTGCAGTCATCCCCCTGGGGACTTGGAGGCGGCTGTCCCTGTGCTGGTTTGCAGTGTGCGGGTTCATTCATCTGGTGATTGAGGGCTGGTTCGTCCTCTACTATAAGGACTTCCTCGGAGATCAAGCCTTCTTATCCCAACTCTGGAAAGAGTACGCCAAAGGGGACAGTCGGTATATCCTGGGTGAGAACTTCATAGTATGCATGGAGACCATCACAGCGTGGATGTGGGGACCCCTCAGCCTATGGGTGGTAATTGCCTTTCTCCGCCAGCAACCCGTCCGCTTTGTCCTCCAGCTTGTGGTTTCTGTGGGCCAGATATACGGGGATATCCTGTATTTTCTGTCAGAGCACCGTGACGGGTACCAGCATGGGGAGCTGGGTCACCCAATCTACTTCTGGTTTTACTTCGTTTTTATGAATGCCTTGTGGCTGATGTTGCCGGGAGTCCTCGTGCTCGATTCTGTAAAGCATCTCACTTATGCCCAGAGCACACTGGATGCCGAGACCGCAAAAGTCAAGAGCAAGCTGAACTAGGGAGTAGTGTGGGCTGGGCTTCGAACACTGGCTGATGGAGAACTCATCACTTCCCCGAAGTGTCAACTCCTGCCCCCACGGGCTAGTGGGACAAAGGTACCGAACTTGTCAAACTCGGGCTGAGGGGTGGGCCCCAAAAGGGCCAGCGAGCGGAAAGAAAGCAAGAAGGGCGAAGTGGAGCTACTGCCAACAGCTGTTGCTTGGAACAAAGGCATAAGAAGACCTGGGGGAGGTCCATGATGGTGGCGTTTTTTTAAATCTGGAAATAAAATATCTTGACTCTAAGATTATATATATCTGTTGACTTTGATTTAGTAATTCCACTCGTAAGACTCCATTAATAGATATAACAGATGATTTCCCATGTAAAACAGCAATTCATCGCTTCTCGGCCTTTTGGCTACGATCAAGTGTAGTATCTGCTCTTATCAGTTTAATATCTGATACGTCCTCTATCCGAGGACAATATATTAAACGGATTTTTGGAGCAGAGAGATGGAATAGGAGCTTACTGCGTCCAATCCACGCATCGACCTGGTGGTATTGCAGTACTTTCAGGAACGGTGCATTCCCTTTTGGGGGAATAAAAACAAAACAGCAATGCCGGGGGAGATTGTAAGAGAATGCAATGCTAATGAACAGTGGCCATTTGTGAGTAAACAAATTGATAATTTTATTTTTAAATTATTTTCCAAAACATTTTTGTCAGGAACTAATCCAGACATCATACCGTTTCATAGTTCAATCACATCAAGCAGTTTTGCACAGCTGCTATCAAAATCAATTATAAAACATTTTCTTCCTTCTTGAACTCTTTGATATCAGCTCCTTCCCCCCTTCTACCTTCCCTACCCATACCCCCGAGAAACACTTATTATAGTTGTTGTCTCTATAAGTTCACCTATGCTGGGTTCATACACTGAAAAACTTTTTTAAAAACCACATAACAAAGATTCGAGGAGGCTACCCACAATGACAAAATACAACAGAGATAAATCCCAATTAAAAAAAAAAACTACAGAAAATATTAAAAGCTAGATCAAGTCCAAAATGTATCAGAGGGGTGATCAAGTGACAAGGTTTTAACCACAGTTGTCTCTTCAATACTCTGTCCGATAACTAGGTAATAATTCCCATCCCTCAATTATGGGTAGAGGAAAATCACAGAGGCATCTTCCCTGTGTAGCTCCTACAGATGTATTTTGGATTTTCACTGTCCTCCATAGCCTTCTGCACACGTCATCAGAACTAATTGTTCTTAGATTAGAGCTGGGATTAAGTGCAAGCCCCAAATCCATTTCTGAGCAGATTTCTGTCTCTGTTCTGGAATTCTGAATCACATATAATGCCTTCCTCTTGATGTTATCACCCATAATTCTTCGGATTTCTTTGTTCTTTTTTCTGATTGTTTTTCCAGCAGGTTAGTATTGAGAGATTTGTCATCAAGCTCACTAGTTTAGTCCCCCAATTCTAGTCTTTTGCTCTTGCAATGTATTCTCTATTTCTGAATATTTAGTATTGATCTGGATTTCTATGAACTGGTTAGCCTGGTTTCCGATCTTTCATTTATTTTGTCAATGTGTTTTTGTAGTATTTTCCTGAATTCTTCTCAATCTATTGAAAGCACCTAAATATCATTCTTTTAAATACCTTATTAGGTAGTTCCAATGCCATTTATTTTTCAGAAAGGACCTCTGGCTCTGTGTTTGGGGCACTTATTTGAGTCACTCTCTTGTTTCTTCATGTGAACTATAATATTCTTTTGTCTTTGAGACATTATGGTGGTGTATTTGTGTTTAATTAGTCATGGTATATAAGCACTCACCACCTGTCTGGGATGTGAGAGAGCATTTGAATGCATGTGCAGTTCTCTATTTGCTATTCATGTAGCATAGTTGAGGGTGGGCTTGACTGGTGTTGGCTGCTGTCTATTGATCATGGTATATATAAGCGGATACTGACCCTCACCCAGTAGGTGGGGCTGCAGGAAAGATGAATGTTGGTAGGTTATGTGGGCTCAGTTGTCTCTCATGGCATAAGAAAAAAAAAAAAAGAGAGAGAGAAGATAGGAAAATAACTCCAAAACAAACAAGTAACAGCAAAAATGAAAATAAAAAAGATTTAGAAAATCGGGGGGAAACAGGAAAACATCAAGAAAAAAATAATTTACTAATTAAAATGAAATAAATATAAAAAGGGGGATGAGAAAAAGACAAGATAGGGTAAAAAGCAAACAATAAGCCAAACTAACAACCAAATGAAACCCACTGTCAAATGACAAAATACCCATTTATAAACTATCAAGGGCTCATGGGGGAGGGGGGAGCGGGGAGGGAGGGGAAAAATGAGGACCTAATGTTGGGGGTTTAAATGGAGAGAAAATGTTTTGAGAAACAATGTACAAATGCGCTTTACACAATTGATGTGTGTATGGATTGGGATAACAGTTGTATGAGCCCCTAATAAAATGTTAAAAAAAACAAAACAAAAACCCACTGTCATTTGAGTAGATGGTGACGCATGGGGGCCTTATGTGCAGTTTCCACGGCTGAAAAGCTTGACAGGAGCAGAAAGCCTCAAAGAGAAAAGATAAAGGCAAAGAAAAATCTCAGAAAATAAAGAAGGGATGTGAAAAAAAATGAAACAAGAAAAAGAACAAAGGGAAGAAGAGATAAACAAGTGAAGGAACATAAGAGGGTAAAACAACAATAGACAAAGGAGAAAACTGCAGGGGTGAGGGGTGGGCAGGGCTTCATGTACAGGTCAGCACCCTTTGCCAGCCAGGGAGATAGAATGCCTGATCCTAAGATCACCAGTCTGCATGTTTGGAGACAGGATACCTGATCCAGAAACAGTTCCTGCCAACTTAGATGGTGGGTGCAGTCAGGGCGGCTGGGGCAGACTGGCTGGTTATGGAGAAGTTCTTGATTGTTCCCGAGACTGGAGACCCTCCTCTGCATGTTTTACTGGTCTGGTGAGGCAGAGCCCATCTATCTCTAGATCAGTGGTGGGAGTATCCAGCCCAAGAGTCGTATAAAGCCCACGAAATTATCAGTACCACCTAACCTCACATGCCTTACCCAAGAGAAGCAATTCCAGCCATCACAGTAGGGGGGCAGTTAGTTAAATATTTGACCAAGTACAGCAGGCAAAATTTTAAATTGATAATTTTATATGGTCTCAAGAGATATTATAAATATCTGCCCTTGGCAGAAAAAAATGTTCCTTTCCCTGCTCTAAACATTGAGGAAGTGCACCCAATACCCAGTCCACAAGGCCCCAGCTCTGATTTCACACAGAGCATGGTTTGCAAAAATGTGCCGTTTCACCAGCTGCTCGGTGGGCGAGGGTGGGAACTTGCCACACTTCTGACCACCAAGCGTGTGTGAGGAAAACAAGAGAATTGTACTATTCGGTCAGCACTAGCCACCAGTCTATTAACTGCCATATTTCAATAATTGCATATACCATATGTCACTTTTCTTAGGGCTTTAAACCACAAAAACAAACCAATTGTTACTGAGTTCATTCTGACTCTCAATGATGCTGTATAGGGTTTTTGAGGCTTTGTAAATCTTTATGAGATCAGATACACCCATCTTTCTCTAAAAAAGTTGCTGTTGAGTTTTAACTGCTGATCTTGCACTTAGCAGTCCGATACTTATACAACAGACCCACCAGGTTTCTTTTTGAACACAGTAGGTGCTCAAAAGCAAATCTACTGAATGCATTAACTGGTTGTACTATGAAATGCACTACATGGTGAGTATAAGGCTTTGAATTCTACATATTAAAGGAATGCTCATTCTCAAATGATTGCCCCTGGATTGGGGAGGTAAGAGGAAAACTATTCCCTCTCTCCCTTAGTTGCCTGAGAAGCTTTCAGAGATATGAGACCTACTTGAAACAAACTTACATTCAAAAACAGGATATCTTGGAGGAAATGCACAGTTTCCAGTTTCATGATGGCAAAGAAGACAGGTAGGTGTGCATCTGGATTTGTTTGAGCAGCTATGTCATATAATCGCCTGGCCAAGTGAATGTCCTAGGGAAAGAAGAATACAGAAAATATGAGATAATAAATCTGTGTTGTTTTAAGCAACTACATTTGTGGCAGTCAGTTATGTCAGCCAAAGGAAACTCACACAATCTTCACAAAGCTTTCTTTGATATTTCTGAACTAGCTCTTAGGTCTAAGTCAGAAGACGACTCTATTAATATTACATTTCCACAAATAAAATAATACAAACAGTAATAATTATTAAAAGTTCTTATATTTCTTCATATTACATTTCATACCCGTGGTTATATAATTTATTTGCTTATTAGTTTATTATGCATCCCTAGGTCTTTGAAAACAAGGACTTAGACAACCTATTCACCCTTGAATTCTTATGCTAACTGAAATGTCCAGTAAATAGTAGACTCTTTCAATATTGTAACTCAAGCTTTGATTTTTTTCTTCAATTCTTTCAGTTTAATATATGCTGAATAGGTTTTATTTCTGGTTTCCTCACTCTAAGTCTTTGCACACTTCCTTATAATACTTTAGTCTTCTTGAACTGCCCTTTGAAATTTTCTGCCCAACTCTTTCATCATTTCTTCCATGTGCCTCAGGTACTCTATGATTAAGAGCAAGCTTCAGAGTCTCTTCTGATATCCACTTTGATTCTTACTTTCTTTCCTATCTTTTTAATGATCTTTCACTTTTTGGTTTGTTCCACAGTTAGCCCCTGGCCTCATTTTATCTGATGATATTGGGCTTCTCCGTCATCATTTCCCACAAATGTCAATTTGGTTTCTGTGTATTCTCTCTGTAGAAGTCCGTGTGTATAGTTGCCTTTTGTGTTGTTGAATAAGATACAGTATTTGTGTTGAAAAATCATGGGTTGTGCAAAATTCCTTCATGAGATCTCCGCTTAGCTTTTATCATTAAGACTATATATATGTATACATATGTATTTGGTTTTTTATCATTTTATTGGGCGCTTGGACAACTCTTATCACAATCCATACATCAGTTGAATCAGGCATGTTTGTACATATGTTGCCTTTATTCTTTTCTAGACATTTGGTTTCTATTGAGCCCTTGGTATCAGCTCTTCCCCTCACCCTCATAACTCCCGATAGGTTGTACATTGTTATTTTTTTCATCTCACCAACCGCTGTCTCCCTTCCCCCATGTTTTCTGTTGTTCTTCCCCCTGTATAGTGGTATATGATTATGTGTCTATCATTGTGATTGGTTCCCTCTTTCTCCCTTCCCCTCCCCCACTTCCCCCTACCCTTCTGGTATCACTATTCCCACTCCTGTTCCGAGATTCTGTGTGTCCTGAGCTCTCATCCCTTTTTATACTTGTGTACATGTTCCAGTCTAGTCTGAATTGAGAAGCAGCACTGGGGTTATGGTAGTGGGGGGTGAGGAAGCCTCAAGGAACCAGAGGAATATAGTGTGTTTCATCGATGCTTTACTGCACCCTGATGACTCATCCCTTCCCTGTGGGCCCTCTGTGGGGAGATTGTTCCACTGTCTACAGATGGGCTTTGGATCTCTGCTCCAGCCCCCCTCGTTCTC